CCGCGCACATTCGTTTTCTTTTAATCTGCAAGAATTTCGCGGATTGAGGGCGGTTCCTTTTCAACATGTGTTTCTCGCCATAGCGCCGAGCGCACTCGTTTCTTAACTTTGCGAGAGTTCCACGGATTCCCATGATCAGCGTACCAGACATGGTGTTGGAAGGATTCAGGATTTTGAGGGTGGGTACAACAATTACGTTGAGTCGCGGCATTGAAATCCAGGACTGGCGTTCTGGTACGATTCCGGATCGTCAAGACGCAAGCATCATATTGATCCGTGGCGTTGGCATCCCGAGAACAATGTTTTGGCATGCTTCAGGGTCGTCAATCGGCTATCTTCCAACGAGACTGTTCCCTCTGTGGAAATGAACCGTTGTAGGGGCCTATGAAGAGGGAGCTTGGAGGGAGGGTTCATTCTAACATCGTTGATGACTCTTTGGTTTACACTGGTCCTCCTCCTCCTCCTCCTCCTCCTCCTCCTCCTCCTCGTCTCTCCTCTTCCTCATCCTCCTCCTCCTCCTCCTCCTTCTCCTCCTCCTCCTTTTCCTCCTCCTCCTTCTCCTTCCCCTCCTCCTCCTCCTCCTCCTCCTCGTCCTCCTCCTCCTTCTTTTGGCCGTCGGGGGCTTCCTCAAGCCTCTGGAGGCCTCCCGAGACCCTGACCTGAGAAGGAGATCTCAGGAGACCTCCAGGAGGCCACTGGGAACCTTATCATCGGCGGCAGCGCTGGCAGCAGCGGCCGCGGCAGAGGCAGGAGCAGCGACGAGACGAGGAGTGGAAGGAGGGCAGGGAGCGAGCAAGGAGCGGGATGCGGGGCAGGGGAAGGTAGGGGCGGAGGGAGAGGGGCCCCGACAACCTCGCGTCGTGAGAAAACACGGCGGGACGTATCCGTCAACTTTCGGCCCCTGCATGGGGGCCATGCCCGGGCCGTGGGAGCCGCCCGCGCGCCCCCAGGGAGGGGTCCGGCCAGTCAGTGAAGCCATGCATCCAGGGAGTGAAGCCAATCCCTCAGGACGCGGTGGCACAAGGAGGGGCGCACGGTGTGAAGAGAGCACGGCGTCGGCGGTCTGAGGACGAGGCAGCGGGACGAGGCACTGCGCGAAGCGGCTGACCGGGGCGCCGCAGCGACCGGGGGGTGGGCAGGGAGGGAGGCTGCCGGGGAAATGGGCCATGGGAGTGACAGGATCGGCACGAGGTGGTTGAAGAGTGGGGGCGGGAAGGGCGCCCAATCAAACTGCGCCAACGGGGGAACTGCGAACGATGACGTCGATCGCCGGCCGCGGCGGCGGCCATCCGGATCCCTCATGGGAGCAGGCCCCCTGTGCGTCGTGAAGCCAGGGCACGGGCCGCTACAAGAGCCATGTGCGCACTTTCCTCCTCCCCAGTCCTTCCTATCGTCATCCAGCCCTCCTCCTGCTCTCCATCATTGGTGGCAGGACGACCGAACATAGAAACATGAATGGGCACTTGTGAAGAAGGGGAGACGCCCCCGCAGACTGGCACGCGCACGCATGGACGTGCATATGTATATATATATATATAGATATACACATATGTGTGTACGCATACGCACACACATATACACGTCAGAGTGAAGGGGCCGAACGGTCATTCCTTGTCCATGGGTGCGTGGCTGAATAAGGAATGTGTAGTGAAAATTGTGCTTGTTGTGTTGTTGTTGTTGTTGATGTTGTTGCTGCTGCTGTTGCTGTTGCTGTTGCTGTTGCTGTTGCTGTTGCTCTTGCTGTTGTCGTTGCTGTTGATGTTGCTGTTGTTGTTGTTGTGGTTGGTGGTGCTATTTTTATTGTTTTTGTTATTGCTATTGTTGTTGTTGGTATGGTTATGGTTGTGGTTGTGATTGTGGTTGTCGTTATGGTTGTGGTTAGGGTTGTTGTTGTTGTCGTTGTAATTGTTTGTTGTCGTCGTCCCACCTGCGACCCGACCGCGATCCACCCCGCTCCCCACCTCGCGACCCAACCCGCGACCCACCCGCGACCCCACCCGCGACCCCCCCGCGACCCAACCCGCGACCAGCATGCGACCCACCCCGCGACCCACCCGTGACCCACCAGCAACCCACCCGCGACCCACCCCGCGACCCATCCGCGAACCATCCGCGACCCACCCGAGACCCACCCGCAAGGGAGGAGAAACCACCCAGACCCGACATATGACGTTTACCAAACGGCCCTGGGCGTTTGCATTATGGGGTGTCCTCTACACCCGCGACCCACCCGACCCAACACCGACCCACCCGCGACCCATTATGGGGTGTCCTCTACACCCGCGACACCACCCAACACCGACCCCACCCCCGACCCAACACACCCCCTGCTCCTCCTCCTCCTCCTCCTCCTCCTCCTCTCCCTCCTGCTCCTTCTCCTCCTGCTCCTCCTCATGCCTCCTGTGGTATGATTCGGATGATCCGCTCGGATGTTCACGGATCATATTCTGGGACATCGATGTAGATGCTCGCGGAGAGGTTTCTGGAACATCGCTCGGATGCTTCTGGAAAGCTCCAGCATAAACATAAAAACAACAGCAACGACAAGTACGACAACAGCAGCAACAACAACACGAACAACACGAACAACACGAGCACCACATACAACAGCAGCAGCAACAACAATGGCAACGACAACGACAACGACAACGACAACAGCAGCAACAACAACAACAACAACAACAACAACAACAACACCAACAACAACAACACCAACACCAACAACACCAGCACCACCAACAACAACAACAACAACACCACCAACAACAAAAACAACAACACCAGCAACAACAACAACAGCACCAGCAACACCAACAACAACCACAACCACAGCAACAATGGTAACGACAACAACAATACTAATACTATTAAGACTGTTCGCTCTTACCTGCGCGAGTGTCATCCAGCGTGCATTTCCCGAACACTCGATGCCCGCCCTCTCCGTCTTCGATCATACCACTTCTGGTGGGTATATCTATATATATATATATATATATATATATATATATATATATTTCTGCATGGGTTCTGCGTGATTCGCCTGGAAGTTTCCAGCGAGAGAGCGATTCCTGAGTAAGTTTGAAGAAGTCCCCAGCGAACGCGTCATTCCTGAATGGCAAGAGCGCGGCGCCTGAGTAAATCGCGAGGGAGTCTCGAGCGGGAACACGATTCTCGAGCACATTGCAAGTATGTCTCAAGCGGGAGCGGGGAACTGGAGTGATTTTTAAGGAAGTATCAAGCGGGAGCCGCTGTTGTTGTTGTTGCTGTAAACCGGGGGCCAGGGGCACGATTTGAGGAAGACTTTCCCTTGATAGAAAATTAAGTGCGAGCGCCGGGAGGGGCACCTCAATTGAAAAACTAAAATGTGCAGAGGAGGGGGGGGTCAACAATAATTACTCTTCAGAACACTAGCAACAACAGCAGCAGCAACCACAACAACAGCAGCAGCAACAGCAGCAACAACAACAACAGCAGCAACAACAACAGCAGCAGCAACAACAACCACAACAACAACAACAAAAGCAACAACAACAGAAACAACAACAACGACAACAACAACAATAACAACAACAAACACAAGTTTAGGACAAGTTCGCGTGCCGTTTAACACAAAAGTCCGTAACCCTCGACACCCGCCCTCTACGTCTTCGATCGTGCCCCCTTGGTGGTCATCTCTCTTGCCCACGCGAGAGCGCACTGTCTGCATACATTGTGAGGACGTCCAACGCGAGAGCACGATTTGGGAATACCTTGTGAAGAAGTATCAGGAGGAGCCGTTGTCGTTGCCGTTGCCGTTGCTGTTGTTGTTGTTGTCACTGTTATTGTAAACCGGGGGCCAACAACCTAATTCTGAGACCCACGACTTTCCCTCATAGAACAACAGGGTGCGAACCCCGGGAAGGGCACTTCGGTTGAAGGACACTTCACTCTCAATTATGAGAATCCAAGACATGTGTTTTTGCCTCTTGGCGTCTTCTTGGGGGTCCGCTCGAGGCCATGTCGAAGCGTCATGGGGGTTCCATCTACAAACAATGCTGGGCCGCCCCCAGGCATTTCGGAAGCCCGCAAGGCGCCGGGGTGCTTTCAGGCTCTCGCATGCCCCTTGTGGGGGCTGACTGGCGGTGCCAGCGAATGTGGGGCCTGGCTCCGGGTTCTTTTGGAGCCGTCGTGCGCACTCTTGCGAGGTCTCCTGAGCCGACTTGGGTCGGGGATCTGCTAACCTGTGTCCATCAGACCTGGGTCAGCAGGAAACCAAACAACTGCAGTGCAGGAACAAAAACTGCAACGCAGGGCTTCGCAAACCCGGGTCAGCCAATATGCGCGGCCGCCTCGCGGCCATGAGCGGCTCGCTAACCCGGGTCAGCGAGAGGGGGTCTTCGCAGGATCCTGCAGGATCTGGTGCCCTGGATGACCCCCGTTTGCATTGACCCCCGTCTGTTAAGCTCCAATTGGGGCGGTCTCGGAAGCTTCCCGGCCCACCCTAGCGGTCCAGAGCCTGATAGAGCCAGAAGGCCCAAACTGCCCCCACAAAAAAACAGCGTGCTTGTCACTCTGGACGCCTTCTCGGCAGTCCCCTGGGGGCCTTCCTGGAGCGTCGCGGGGGCTTCTGGATCCGTCTCAGGGCGCCCGTGGGCCTTTTTGGCAGCCTCTCAGGGGTTGGTTGGCGGTGTCGGCGTCTGCGGCGCCCACCTGTGGGCTCTCGCGGAAGCGCCGCAGGCCCTCCTGCAGCTTTCCTGTGCCCTCCTGGACGTGTCTGAGTCATCTTTTACTCGCCTCGAACTTATCCCTATCCCTAAGATTGACACGCCAAAAGGCGATGACAATCTTAGGGATGCGCCCTCAAAAAAAAAGGGAATACCTAAGATTGGCAACGTGACGAGGAGATGCCCAGCAGAGGGATAGGGATATGTTCCAGGCTGGTAAGTCTTGGGGCCCTCTGGGGCCCGTCTTGTTCCCTTCTCGGAGGGTCGCGGGGGCTTCTGAGGCCATGCTGCAGCACTCTGGGGCCGTCTCTGGTCTGCTGGAACCCCGCAGGGCGGTCTTGGGCCAGTCCGGTGGGCACCTTTAGCCGCCTGCAAGCTCTGGGAGCCCTACTGAGGACGCCAGGGGCGCCCATGCCAACTGGTCCCAAACCCCCGATGTCATGATTTTTTTATTACGTCGACCCCTGGAGGTCTCGACCCATTCCCCTGGACCGGTTTTTCATCCTGCGTCGTTTTCTGATGGTCCAGAGGGTCAGTAAGGGCCCCCAGAAGCCGAATATTGAAAAAACCCCAAAAAACCTCCCGTCATGATTTTTTCCTTGCCCGAGGGGGTCTGGGGAGGCAGCAATCGAGATCCCGCCCCCGACAACACCCACGCTCGGAGGACGAGGAGAACGAAGAGGAAGAACGGGGGAAGAAAGAGGATTTGTTTGTTTTCCCCCCCCATACAGTCAATGCGCGATGATGAAAATTGCCAGCGTTCCCACTGAGGGAAAGGGGGGGGAGAAAGAGGAAAATTATCAGGTGGTGTGACGGCTGCCTCTCCCAAAACCGCACGGGGGAGCCTCTGGGGGCCTCTTGGGGGCCCGTTGGGGCTCCTGGGGGTCCCTCGGGGCCGAGGGCTCGAAGTGTCCCTTCGGGTCCCCCATCTGGGCATCCTTCGGAGCCGTCTTTGGGGCCTTGTGGGCGATCGTGGGCGCCTCTTGGGCCGTCTTGGAAGCCTCTCGAGCCGTTTTAGGATTCTCTTGGAGTCCTCTTGGGCCGTCTTGTAACGATATTTGGGGTCTCTAGGGCTGTCCTGGAGCGTCGGGAAGCCGAGACGGCGAGAAAACCAAAAATCTTCAAACACCTAAAGAACCGTAATGATTGTGGCCTCTCGGGGCCCGCTTGGGAGGCCTCTTGGGGCGGCTTGGATGCCTCTTGGGCCGTCTGGGGGCCGCCACCTGCCGTTTTGGCGGTCTCGAAGCACGTTTGCCAGCGATGCGGGGCCGCCTTCGGGCGAGCGTGGTCCACACACTTCTGGTCGGGGGCCCGGCCCGGGGCCCCGGGACCTGGTGCTCCGCTGTGCGCGCAAACGTGCCAACCCTGCCTGACGGCTGCGGGCCCACCACAGTAAGGGATGAGGAGCAGGAGGAAGGTGGCAGGGCGAAGATGCTGAGAAGGAACAGCTAGGAAGAAAAGGGGACGGGAGGAGCCAGGGACAGCATTTTTGGAAAGGAGGAAGAGGAGGAGGAGGAGGAGGAGGAGGAGGAGGAGGAGGAGGAGGAGGAGGAGGAGGAAGAGGAGGAGGCGGAAGAGGAGGCGGAGGAGAGGAGGAGAGGGAGAGGGAGGAGGAGGAGGAGGAGGAGGAGGAGGAGGAGGAGGAGGAGGAGATGAGGAGGAGGAGGAGGAGGAAGAGGAGGCGGAGGAGGAGGAAGAGGAGGCGGCGGAGGCGGAGGAGGCGGAGGAGGAGCAGCCACGAGGCAGGCCGCCAGCGCCACGCCCACCTCCGGGCGCGACCGCGCCTCGCGCCCGCTGCCCGGGGAGCTGGAGCCGCCGGCCGCCCCGCCGAGCGCACGGTGACCGGCCCGGCCCGCGCGCCCGCAGACCGAGCTGCACCCCGGGCCCGGCGAGCTGGCACTCCGGGCGAGCCTGGCGCGCCCATCCGCGCGCCCCGCCGCCGGGTCGGGCAGCCGCCGGCCCCCGCCCAGCAGCTCCTCCAGCGGGGAGACGAGCAAATGACATCACCATCATCATCATCATCATCATCATCATCATCATCATCATCATCATCATCATCATCAACAACAACAACATCATTATCAACATCATCATCATCATCATCACCATCATCATCATCATCACCATCATCATCATCATCAACATCATCATCACCATCATCATCACCATCATCATCATCATCACCACCACCACCATCATCATCATGATCAGGATCAGGATCAGTATCAGTATCAGTATCAGTATCAGTATCAGTATCAGTATCAGTATCAGTATCAGTATCAGTATCAGTATCAGTATCATCATCACCACCATCATCATCAGCAGCATCATCATCATCATCATCATCATCATCATCATCATCATCATCATCATCATCATCATCATCAGTGTTATCATCATCAGTGTTATCATCAGCATCATCATCAGCATTATCATCATTAGCATCAGCATCACCACCACCATCATCATCATCAGCATCATCATCATGATCATCAACATCATCATCAGCATCATCATCATCATCATCATCATCATCATCAGCAGCAGCATCATCATCATCATCATCATCATCAACATGATCAGCATCATCATCAGCCCCCGCCCAGCAGCTCCTCCGAGTGAGGAAACGAACAGTGACATGTAAACATAAAAACTCGGAGGTCCGCGAGGCTTGCTCGGATATTCGACGCTGGGGACCCCTGCAGGCGCCTCGGGCGCCGCCCCGATCCGCCGCCTCCGGAAGGGGATGCAGCGCCGATCCGAGCAATCCGCGTTTACCAGCCTCGAACTTATCCCTATCTCTAAGATTGACACGCCAAAAGGCGATGACAATCTTAGGGATGCGCCCTCAAAAACTAAGAGAATCCTTAAGATTGGCATCGTGATGAGGAGATGGCCAGCAGAGGGATAGGGATATGTTCCAGGCTGGCAACGCGTGGACCTCCGCATTTCTGTGCTCATGGCATGGCTTTTTCCCCTATCCAGCAGCTCGCGCCGGGCCCGGCGCCGCCCCGCCTCGACGTGCAGCCGCGCGTGCACCCCCGAGGGGCTGCCAGCGCGGCGGCACTCCGGCCCCGCAGGCCCCGCCGTGCGGGAGCTGAGGGCCGGCGAGCGGTGCGGTGAGCCGCCGCGCGCTAGCGGCACGGGCGGCGCCCAGGAGTCGGGCGGCGAGGGGGCCGTGCTGGGCGGCGACGGCGATCTGGACGACGACAAGCTCCGGCGCCGCATGCCGTAAGCGTAGAGGCGGTCGACAATCTCCCGGGCCTCCTCGGCGGAGACACGCTGCCTCCATGGCCCGCTGCCGCTGGGCACCGAGGCGCATCCGCCTGGGCGGCCGTGCGCGCGAGGGCGGGCCGCGCGCCCAAGCTCCCGCTCGTGGGCGCCCAGGACGGCCTCCAGGAAGCAAGAGGCGGGCCTGCCGCCGAGGCCCTCGCTGAGCACCGACCCGACGGCCGAGTCGCCCCAGCGCTCCCCAGGCTGCCCAGGGCGAGGGCACGTGGAGCTGGGCGCAGAGCCGCCACCGCGGCCTTGCGGCGGCAGCGCCGGCGGCGCCGTCCACGCCCACGCCTGCGGCAGGGCGCGCCTTGCTGGGCCGCCGCTGCCGCTGCTGCGCCGAGCGCCCGGCGAGCCGAGGGTGGACGCGGGCGACGGTGGCGGCGCCCGAGCGCCTGGCGGCAGCGGGGCAGCGCAGTCCGACAGCGCAGTCCAGGGCGACTGCGGCGAGGCAGCGCGGCGCAGCTGCGCAGAGGGCGGCGGGGTGGCACAGTGCGGCTGCGAGGGCGGCGCCTCGGCCTCGAGCTCAGCCAGCTCGGCCGCGCGCCTCTGCAGCGCCGACAGCAGCCCGCCGATCAACGCCTCCGCGCCAGGCCGCGCCAGGCGCGGCAGCAGCGCGCCGAACTCCCGGGCCGAGGCCTCCACCTCCGGGGAGTCCAGCAGGCTCGCCAGGTGGAGCGCCTCGTGGCCGCTCAGCCCGATTGCCGCGACACCGCCGCGCCCGCCCGGCACGAGCTCGCGCGCGGCCTGCAGCACCTCCGCGCTCAGGGGCGCGCCGGCCGGGTCAGCGTGCGCCGCGCCTGGCGGACGCGCGGCGCCAGGGTCACCTGCCGCGGGGGGCGGGGCCGCGCCAGCCCTGGTGGGGGCTTCCATCGCTGGCGCGCGGCTCAGGCCTTTTCGGGCCAGCGTGGCGGCGGAGGGTGGAGGAGGGGGACGAAGCGGGGAGGAGGTGGAGGGGGAAGATGGGAAGATGGGGGGCGGGGAGCGGGGAGGTGGACGGCACGGGCGAGTCGGGCGGCCCGGCCCATCCACGCATGGCCCTCGACAGCTCAGCCCCTCGAGCGGAGATTCCGGGGGCAGGATCTGCAGCAGACCCATCATGTCCAGCGCTCAATGTGCGAGAACGGCGCCCATGCACCGTGCCATGTTTGGACTCCTTTCAGGCCCCGATCCAGCGCGGCAAGGTGCATAGACTTCTGGCACTAGGGGCCGAACAACTATGCAGCACACACCATACCACTACCAGGTCGAGGATCGACGACGCAGTGGGCGACATCAACGCAGTACTGCGCACCGCAGGTGTCCGCTGATAACTCTCACGTGTTCTGTCTTGCTCTCCTACGTAAGTAGTCGCACCTACATGCGAACCTCTGTCGTGTAGGCTGTGAGGTTCTGAAGGGGAACAGGATTTCACGGTGTCGACTTTCGGGAGCCTCTGGGTAATGCGCGGTCCAAATTCCCGACACCCCTTCGGGCCACCCCCATCGCACATGAAACACATTACGCGTCCCAAACCCCAGACAGCCCCGCCCAACGCCCCCGTGCGGCGCAGTCCCTGGCGCTTCTCATGCCACATGGAGCAGGGTTGGACATGGCACGACTGCGGCAATCCCTAGTGGTTGGCGGCGCGCACCAGGGGTGGCACAAGGGGGGGACTTCGAAGCAGGCAGCTGGGTTCTGACAACGTGGGGGGCTGCTCAGAAACTATCCCAAGCCGTCCCAGAAGCATTCGAGCCTTCTTGGAAGCCTTCGGGCTCCTTCGAGAGGACCCCTGCCGTCCAAGGACCCCCCCTCTCCTCGGTGGGCCGCCCCCAATCGCGCCACCCCGTCGTGGGAACCGCAAACCCCACCAGCCCTCTGACCCTCGGTGGTCTTGTGTTAGGTCGGGCACGTCCTCTCACAGGCGGATTTTTGATGAAGGATCAATCGTAAGACAGACTCAAAAACAAGCAAACACAGTCGAATAAGCATCCCCAGAAAATGGTTCGTCTATTTTTGTAGAGGGACGCGCCCGACTCGAGTCTAGCGGGTCGGCTCTTCCACCCCCCACCTTCTTCCCCTGGGTGTGCCGCCCCCCCCCCCAGACCACCGACGTCATTATTATTTCATGACGTCGACCCCTGGAGGTCTCGAACCATTATCCCGAGTCGTTTTTTGTCGGTCCCGAGGCCAGGGAAGGGCCCCCGGAGACCGAAAATTGGGGAGACCAAAAGGTACCGATACCACTACTCCCCGGACCTCTTCCGGGGTGCGTTCTGACCAGGCTTTCGAGGCGAAGCCAGCAGTGGCGACGACAGAGGCCCAGGAGGCCCAAGAAGGGGGAAACGAGGGGAGGGTAGGGGTATGGGTACTTCTGAAAAGCGCAGCCTCCCGCCTAAGCCAGAAGAGGCTGAGCACGGAGGGGGGGGGGCCTGAAGAAATCCTCCTCCTCCTCCTCCTCCTCCTCCTCCTCCTCCTCCTCCTCCCCCTCCTCCTCCTCCCCCTCCTCCTCCCCCTCCTCCTCCTTTGAGAACTAGCGAAGGGCCTCCCGCCGTGATTTTTTCACAGCGCGATGGGGGCTCTGGGAGGGTGGGGCCCCGTCCTTCCGCCGCGCTCCCGCCGGGCTCCCGCCGGCCGCCGCGCCGACGCCTCGCGCTGCCTCCCTCCGCCCGCGCCAGCCTCTGCAGGCCGTGGGGGAGGCGAGGCGCCGACGCCTCCCCCGCGCGCGGACCTCCGAGGCCACTAAGAACTCGGAGGTCCGCGAGGATTTCTCGGATCGGCGCTGGGGTCCCCCGGCGGCGCCTCCGGCGCCCCGGGACCCCGCGCCGGAGGCGCCGCCGGGGGGCCCCAGCGCCGATCCGAGAAATCCGCGCGGAGCTCCGAGTTGTTTTATGTTTATGCCACTTTTTCTTCCCCTAGCCACGGTCCCAGACCCCCCCCCTTCGGGTTGTGAGCAGAGCACGACGGGCAGGTTTGTCGCGGGTCGAACTCTCGATGCACCGTCGCCTCTGTCTGGCCTCCCACTGGATCTCGCACAGGAGAGCGGATCCTGGTGTATACGGGATCCTGGTGTATACATTCTTCGTTGTTTCCCTGGGAAAACAAAGGAAACAACTATACACCACACCACCCCGACGTCGTCCCCGACCCTCAAAAAAGTCGTGGGATTGGAGAAACCGCCCGCCACTGGTAATGTATTGTCTATGCTCCAGCTTCTGACGGAAGACGACTCGGGAGAAAAAACTAGTCTTAAGTCGGGCCTGTCCCCCTACAGGGGGATTTTCGACGAAAAAATAAAATACCCTAACAATAATCCAAAAATAACCCCAAAACAGTCTGGGGACTATTTAATTATATTTGTTTTGCCATTTCGGTGTGTTTTTGGGGTATGCTGTATTTTTCGTCGAAAATCCCTCTGTAAGGGGACAGGCCCGACCTGAAACTAGTCCCCGGGAAAGGGCCCAGTCCTGTGAGGGCCGACGCTGCGAGCAAACTCTCGCGACGTCGGGGGCCACGACGTGGGCGCACGTGGGCGCCCCGTGCCGGGGCCTCGCGCCCCTCCCCCGGGAACCAGGGTGTGTTCGGCCCCGTGCAGCCGCCGCGTGGTGATGAGGAGCCCCGGGTATAGCTAGGCGGCGGGCGGAGGGGGGGAAGTGAGAGGGGGCGGGCCTCCTCAGAAGGCCCAAAAGTCCCCCAGCCTTCTGAGACGTTTTCTAAGCCTTCCCCGAAGACAAGAAACACTTCTCAGAAGGCGCGAGGGTTTCCGAGAAGTCCCGCCGCCTTCTGAGAAGGCCTTCTCCTTCTCACTTAGCCCCCTCGCTCGCCGCTGAATAGCGCTTGGCCTGGGAAAGACAGCGAAAGAGGAAGTGTCCAGGCCTGGAAAAAAAACCTGCTGTGGGTGGAGCGAGCCCGAAACGGTGTAGGGATGCGGTCGCCAGGGCTGGAACAAGAGAAAGGGAAACTAACTAGGGCTGGAGTGACTTAAAGGGCTGGCCCAAATCACTTTTTCCAGCTCTCATTAGGTCGGGCATGCCCTCCTACAGGCGGTTTTTGGAAAAAAAGGAACAGCAGTTACAACAATACAACACAAATTTCACAAATGGTAGAAGAATCGCCCCCATACTTTTTTTTGACTATTTTTGGAATATGCCTTCTGTAGAGGGACGTGCCCGACTTAAAGCTTCCAAGTAGATAATGACGGGGCTTTGTCCGTGAACAGCTCGTCTGCCAGGGTGCTGTCGTCGAGATACAAAACTAGAGGCCTCCTAGATGGGGTCCGAGCAGATGGGATTGGAGGATCGCGCCGCATCGCCAATGCGTCGGCGATGCATCGGGCGATGCGTCGCCGACGTCGGCGACGCATCGGCGACGTGGGCGTGGAGACAATCGGGCTCCGCATCGAGCCGCATCGTCGGTGCACCGGCGATGCGGCGCGATCCTCCGACCCAATCTACTCCGACCCCACCTAGGAGGCCCAGAAACATGCCCCCCACGCCCAGAGAATTACCAGCCTGGAACATACCCCTAGCCCTATGCTGGGCATCTCTTCATCACGATGCCAAACTTAGGGATGCCCTTATTTTCTGAGGGCGGATCCCTAAGACTGTCATCGCCTTCGGGCGTGTCAATCTCAGGGATAGGGATACGTTCGAGGCTGGTAAGAGAGGGAGCCCGTCCCCCGAGATCGGGGAGGCCCGAGGAAACTGCTGCGGGCCTCCCCCCCTCCCGTGCGGCGGCGCGTCGGGCCGTGCAGGGCCTCCCGCCACGCAGGAGGGGCGCCCGCTCGGGCCGCGCGGAGCCTCCGCAGGGCCTGCAGGATGCAAGGCCCCCCGCAGCAGGAGCCCGAGGACGGGCCCTGTGCAGCCGCCGGTGTGTGCCAGGAGGACCTTGTGTGGAGTGACGGGGGCTCTCTTCCCTGAGCAGCTCGCCTGCAGGGGTTCTGCCGTCGAGATGCCGTGCTTCCCGCGCCAGGGGAGGGAGCCCGGGCCCCCGAGATCGGGGAGGCCCCTCGTAGCTGCGGGCCTCCCCTCCGGTGTGACGGCGTGCCGGGCTGTGCAGGGCCTCCTGCGGCCACGCCGAGCCTCGGCAAGGACCGACATTCAGGTCGGGACATGTCCTCCTACAGGCGGGTGATGGACGGCAGGTAACACATCATCGAAACATGTCCCGAAGGAGCCAAAGAGAGTGGACACGTCGTCCCCTGACCATGTTTGGACACCCCTGCTGTAGAGGGACATGCCCGACTTAAACCTACATGTAAGTCGGGCGTGTCCCCCTACAGGGGGACTTTGAACGGAAAAAAAGATACCCCCTGTAGAGGGGGCATGCCCGACTGAAGCCTAAATGAAAGGCCCATATTTCCCTCAATTCCCATATTTTCCCTCCTCAATTCCCCCTCAATTCCCGTATTGGTTGTTGTCTTCCCCCTCAATTCCCATATTTTCCCATATTTTCTGGGGAATCGAAGATTAATTGTGTCTGTGTGTTTTTTCCCTCCTGATCTGAGTCGGCTCACGTGAAGAAGCCCGCGCCCCAGAGAGATGCAGGCACCCAGGCCCCCGACGTCGTGATTTCTCACAACGTCGGCCCCCAGAGGTCTGAACTTAAGTCGGGCCTGTCCCCCTACAGGGGGATTTTCGACGAGAAATTAAGAATACACCAGAAATAATAAAACAAATAATCCAAAAATAGTTCGGGGACTATTCTTGTAGTATTGTTTGACCTTCTTGGGGCATTTTTGGGGTATTTTTAATTTTCGTCGAAAATCCCCCTGTAAGGGGACACGCCCGACATTGATAAGTCTGGACCCCTTCCCCGGGACAGGTTCTTCGTCCCGAGTCGTTTTTTGATGGCTCCGGGGCCGGCCTGGAAGGGCCCCCAGAGGCGCCGATCAT